GATAAGTTAAATACAGGTTAAAGATTAGTAAATATTGTAAATGTTTTGTCACTTATGTTCTTAAAAAAATTCTCTGATTTACTGTCTTTTATTTGTTGTGAATGAACTTTTTAAAAGGCGAATCAAAAGCAAGTAAGAGTGTACACCACCAAAAAATAGCCCTAATGTAAACTATGAACTTTGGGTTATTACGATGAGTATAGTCATTAATTTTAACAAATATATTCCACTACTCTGACAGAGGATGGTGGCAAAAGGGGAGATTATGCCTGTGTAGATACAGGGCTGCATGGGTAAAAATATCTCTTGTACATTTATCCTAATTTTGCTGTGAACCTAAAAGTGCTCTTGAAAAAGTCTTTAAAAATGTGAGGTTAAGAGTTAACATAGTAGTAGAGCACATGCTTAGTATGTGCAAAGGTCTGAGTTCAATTCCAACCCAGCACAAAAAAAGAGATGAAAAAAAGAAATATGTAAAAAACACAATAATAAACAAAATGTATCTTAAATATGTACTCAATAAACATTTGGAGTTTAAGTTGAATAATAAAAGGCTCTTTTAAAATTTAAATACAGTATACAAAAAGAGTATGTGAAATGTGCCATCACTTGAAAATCAGAAGTTTTCAATATCTTTAGAGCTACATTAAAGTCTCACAAAATAGTGACTTAAATGCCTTTACATGTAATTTTATGACTGAGTAATTCTAAAGTATTTAGTTTATGATTCTTCTGGATTGCTCAACTGTATTTTCAGAATATTAAAATACATAATTACTATAAAATGAGTTAGAAATGTTTATGATTGCATTAAGTTTTTAAGATTTCTTCCTATTTAATTTTTTTTTAAATTGGCAGCTCTGTAGAAGTGTTTGTATGCCTGACAGACTGGGTTCAATCACCAGAACCAAAAAAATAATATAAAATTGTCATTTTAAACAGCTCTGAGTCTAACAATAACCGTTTACATTCTTCATATAAAAAATGTTATCATGCTGAACTATGACGAAAGTGAATACAGCTAATTGATTAGCAATGAAATATTATGAAAAGCCCTTAAACATAAAAATATCAGAATAAATTTGTCTTCATAAATTATATATTTAACATTGAAAATAAACAGACATGAACTCTATGCTAGATTGTTTGAACTATGCGTAATACTTAAAATTGCCTTCTAAGGCAAGTAATCATAAAACACAAGACATATAAAATCTTTTTAAGATGAATATTTGTAATACCCACTGAGATGAAAATATAAGAAATAAAGTATATAAGAAAATAGTAATATATGAAAAATGATTATTCCAAAACCAAATTCACAGGTATTTAAGTCTACTATGTAATGGTAGCTTCACTGCAGTCATTTTAAAATTACCTTCTCTTTGGAAAAAATTTTTGCATAAATTAGGAAATATGTTAATATTAAAAATTTCTATATCATGTTTGATGGAAAAGAATTCCAAGTATACATAAACCCCATATGTGAAAGAAAGTATTATATAAATAAGTGAAAGTAGTAAAAGTAATGGATTCTATACTTCTCCAAAACAAAATGAAATTCAAACCATCATATTTCTTAGGTACACAAAGATAACATGAAGACTTTGAAAATAAGTATCTGTGTAAAAAAAAAAAAAAAAAAACCTTACATAACAAACATAAACAAGTAGCTGTATACTATCCTTTTCCAAAAATCCCCAATATTTAGCTACCATCAATTCCTCTAAAGTACCATCAAATATTTAAGCCCCCCTAAAAACTTATATTTCAAAGAAAACTGCCAGTGACCTTTTCTAGCCAATTTAAATGTTATCCTACAATGTAACCATGGATTCAATATTTTTAAACTTAATAATATAAGGACACTGATAATGATAAGTATCATTAGTACTTACGAAATAATTGTATCCTACTGATGAAGTAGCTTTACTAAGAACCTTGACTTAACATATATTAACAATGTATATATTCTTTATTTCAATTGAAACAAGTGTTTGTATTTTACACTGGATTCTTAAGAAATTCCTAGAAAAGATCATTCTATTTTACAAACTGAATCATTATCAAAAATTTCAAATTTCAGTTAGGTATTTTAAGGAACACTTCAAAAAATAGTATTGTGACAAAATTTACAAATAAAATATACGTTTGTCAACTTTTTAAAGACAAAGTATTTATTATTGAACTCTATCAACATTTCAATATTTACATGGATCAGAATACATATATTCATTTCCCAAGTATAAAAATCACTTACATCACAAGTTCACATTAGAAATTCTAAAAACTCATTTAAACCACCAATTGTCACATACTATCATCAAGGAGTTGACTTTCACTACATTTATCAACATGTCTAAAGACAGGAAAAGCACAGCATCTACACATGTATTTCAAGTTGAAGATTTAAAGATATCATTACCAGAGGAAAGTTTGATAACATCAATGTCAACAAATTTTAAATGATATTATGCAACAATAAATATATGGTTCTGTTTAAAAATACAATACCCTTTTATTTCACAACAATGGAACTGTTTTTAGATATGCAATTCTTTGCAGTAAATATTTTTAAAAAGAGAAAAATATTCTAGGTACACTGGCATGAAATTTTAAATATTATTTATGGAAACTAAAAAATGATTTATATTTCCTCAAATACATACTATAAAAGTATATTCAGAATATTTAAAAAAGAAATTCAATGGCACATGTGTTTACCACACAAAAAAACTGTCAAATACTTAACTCGTATAGATATAAATCCAGCTGAACATTTAAAATTTCTGTTTATCTATGATGCATATTCTTACCCAACAAAATAATATACAGACATAATGCGGAAAATCTACCTTACCCATAAAGCCTGGTACATTTTCCAAAATGCTCATAAGGTTAAAATGACAGCTAAAATAAAATACATTTATAAAATGATCCTGAATTGCCATCTGCTTCTATAAAGGATGTTCACATGATACCTATACAGAGCATTTACAATCGTCTAATTATTACTTGTAGCTGCCTGGCTAAAATCAGTAGAATTCCTACCTTAGTCAAAAATAATTATTCATACAATTTTTATGTAATTTATGTAAACCTCAAAAGAAAGAAACTCCTTCAATGAGACATCATTTAATTCTGTCCTACTCTTAAATACAAGATGTATAAAAGAACACTAATGTTAGTCAAATATTTTTAAAAAACAATGTTTATAATCTAGAAACTGCTAACTCTATGTATACACATATAAACTTTAGTGGTAATATAGTACTGTATTTAATTCACTGGATATAGGACTGCTTATCAACATATAACCATTAAATTAAGTTTAATGTCTCATGGGTCTCTACAGTAACACTTAATAAAATGTTTAATATATGAATATTTTTTGAATAACCAAGTTATAACAATGAAGGATCAGACAAAGCAAAAGTGCTATTTTTTCATTCATCTATAAAACAAATTTATGAGATCGTAAAGAACAATTTAACAATCTAAAGAAGGTTCAAAGAGGAAAGCAACAGCCTGAGAGAAAATAGATTTATCAATGATTTTCAGGCACTCAAAGGAGGGAAAGAAAAAAAAAAGCAGGTTCATTTTTCAATATAAATAGAGGAGGCATAAAATTTAGTAGCTTCTATGTTGAATCCTATTTGTGTGCTTGAACCCTGTGTCAATTCAGATAATGCTGATCCTTCCACATATAAACAACCAATAATGATAACCAGGCCTTTAGGAAAGGAAAACATACACCACACAACAAGGTCAGGAAGCTACCAAGCACTAGAGGAGAACTGATCAAAACAGAATGGTTTCATATGTTCTTATTGTTTATATAGATATTTGAAAATGATATTCCTAGGGAAGGAGGGGCTCCTATAAATATTATCAGGAACAAACAACACAGTACCAAATAAACATCACTTTGAAGCAGTAATTCTAAGTATTTCGGGCACATATATATGTCAGTCAACCTGTGTTTGAATTCAACTCATTTTAATTTAGGTGTCAAGCTAAAATGAACTTTAATCCCAAAGCCCCTTCAAACTGAATTCACTACAATTTATATTTCCTTAACTTCTTTTGAAGAAACAGTCTTGCAAGCACTCAATCTTTTTATTATAAAAAAGATTAATTAATAGAAAGGAATGAAAGATATACTGTATTATTTCCTAGGCAAATTTTTTTTAAAATGTGAGGTAATGACATTGTCTGGTATTTAAGCATTTTTTAAAATTACAACATAATATAAGCAACTGCGGAAACTTATGCTAAATAGCAGACAAGCACATTTTAAACACACAATCTTGAGCCGCCTTTGGCCACGTTTTTTTTAGTTCAGTCTCTTAAAGGGACAGTATTCCCTGGACCAATGCCCCTACATAGAACACATTTCGTAAATGTTTGAAAATCTTCCCTGGAATTTTTTCAAATCCATTCTAGCCAAGAGAGTTATACCTGATTGTACTATGGTATCAAATTAATTTCATTTGAATCTACAAATGACTACTGGGCAGGGAATAATAAGAATCTAGGAGAAGCTACAGTGACCAAAAGGTCTAAAATACAGGGAATCTACACATTTCTTAGAACAGCAAAATGTTTGCTTTTTTTTTTTGTTAAATTTCAAAATGATCACTGTTTCTTCATTCATTTTTCTACCTATTTACTAGCCATGGGGGACCTATTATGCTCTAATCTATTATACCGGAAGCTAGGAGAACACAAATTCACTATTGAATGAAAAGGAGGAAATGCTAGTAACATCAGCCTGGATCTAAACAGTGAAATATCAAAGATTTCATTTCCCGTTTAGGAAAACATATCCTGGAAGGGGCACACACATGTGCCCTAAAAACCGGACTGCCTTGTGATTTTTAAGGAAGATTTTATCTTTCGCTTTACCTAGGGGCATGTTATTGTATGACTATTAACATAACTACAGATAGGTCCTCAAAAAAGGGAAAAGGTGAAAGGGGGAAAAAAGTTTGGCTTACTTGGTGTACAAATACATCCACTGGAATATCCAAGGGGCTCCCTTCTCGGTTTATCATGGAGATGAATCCAAATCCCATACGCACATTGAACCACTTACAGTGGCCAGTTCCGTGCAAAACCTGGGATTCTTCCTCTGCCTGCTCTGGCAGCTTCCCGGGCTCTTCTCCACCACCTTTGCTTGCCCCGCCTGAGAGGAACAGGACAAAAAAGTCAGTTAATATGTATTTCCATACGGTGTTCATCAAAAGAGGAAAAAAAATTGCTGGGTGTGAGGAGCACGAGAAGACAGAAAAAAATTGTTAGTAAATGGTTTACTACTTTTCTTCTATAGAAAATATTTAAAATGAAAGTAGGGGAGGGTAAGCCACACTTTGCTATCAAGCACACAAACTTCCATGTTTCTGTACATATGTGTACTTCCCATTTAACTCAATTTTTCAAACATACATTACAATACAGATTATGATACTTTACTTGCATATTGCTGATTTCACACTGATCCCATTTACAAAGAGAAATTTTCAACGACACTTTCTGGCGGGAAGGAGAAAAGAAATGGTGAAGATGGTTAGAACTAATAGTTAATGCATGCGGCAGCAGCAGTGAATCCAGGATTCTTTGCAATGTGCATTCCCCTCCCCCCATAACTTTCAATTAAAGTTGGGGTGGGATGGGGGAGGGGGCAGGTGTATTAAAGTTTTCTTGGCCTCACTAACTGAAACTGCGCTTAATCACGCTCACACAATTCAAACAATAGCCCCCTGAAAGCTTTTCAAGTTGTGAATCAGTGTGGGCGGTACAAAACATTTTTGGAAATCTATAACAATAGGTTTGCATAAAGCCCCATTGCGCAATGGGAGGTAGGGAGGTAAGGCTCAGTATTTGGGTTAAGGGAGTAGGGAGTTGGGCAAGAAAGAATGAGAAAGGGGGTGGAGGGGTAAGAAAAGAAAGAAAATCACAGTAAAACAATAGAAAAGAAAATTAACCTTCGGCCATGTTGCCCCACGGGCCCTCTGCTCCAAACTCGTGAGATGAAAACTTTCCCTTTGGAACGGAGTGATCTTCTGCATCAATCTAACATCTTGATTTTGTGCGATCACAAATTTAGCTCGCATGGTCTAATGTGCTTTCCTTCTTTTGATTTTTTTTTTCTCTTCTCTCTCGAGTTTCGGGCCCCCTGAGCACACGTGACTTTGTCAATTACATGCTTTCTTGCTACTAATTTCACCTCGGACCCTTAAGGGGCTGGCAAGAGGAAGAGATAACCAATCACCATTTCATCTATGCTGACATCAAAATAATTTATGAATGAACACAAATTTGAGATGCTTAAAGAATTTGAGATGCTTCTTTACAATAAATCAGAATGCTGGTTTCATCCTTTTTAAACACAATGGAGAGTCCTTGTGAATCCTCAATTTAGAAAAACAGCAGTCATACATGTGCACACGTGCGTCCCCACACAAGCCCCTCTAAACAATCTCATTGCAGAGAGGCATTTAAATAAGGCAACATATATGTTACTATTTTCTCCCTTTACGAATTCGGCTACTCCATATCATTAAATCTGTTTGAGACAATAGTTTCATATTTAATTTGAGGAAAAAATGTAATTTACAAGAACAAATTAATCCTAATTACATCCACATTATTAAAACTTCAGATTAATGGTAATTTACACCTACAAAAGTCAAAAAGCACAAAACTACCTAATTGTAACCTCAATTTTAAATTTTAAAAACCAAATACTTTTTAAATTTAAAATAAAATTCTACCAAAAAAATTACTATCTTAAATTTCGTTTAGGTCGATCATTTCAGAACACTTTAGAGGGGCTGGTAAGGAATAGTACTTCACAGGTTTCTCCGCCATCTCTTTCCGGGGGAGGAGATGTGATTAATGACTTCCTAAATAACAGCCCAGTTTTGCAGCCTAACATAGAGTGAACCTCAATCAGCGGCGATTGTTCCCCAAGAGCAAGACACTTAGGGCCAGAGGGGGAGGGGAACGCCAGGGAGGGGAAGTGAAGAGGAGCCTACCAGAGAGCAGAGGCAGTGGCACAAAGAGGGGGGGCAGGATGGAGTGAGCTAGGAGAGGTACATATGACAAAAAGGTCAATTCGTATATTGACTGCATCCTGGTATTTTAAAGGTCCACTACCAATGGGTAGAAGAGCGGAATAAACGAGAATTTAAAACGGATTAGGCTCTTCCCCTCCCATTCCCATTGGCTCTGAGTTTGAAAAGGCTTACTTTTTACCTTTCAAATCAGCTCAAAAGATTGAGATGATTACATTACCTACTGTTACTGAATACTACACTAAGTATTATAGGTTAACTAGGAATGTTTGACTTCCTATAAAATATCACCCTTTGGAAACATTAAAAAGCACCCACCCCCATTCCGCCCCCCCTTCTCTTAAACAAGCGGTTTACGAAAAACTACAGATACCACTTCCCTTCCGCAAGTCACAGAGCCGACCCTCCCCCACTGCGCTGCAACACCCCCTCCCCATCTCCAAACAAGTCCACATTCTAAGTGTCTCACACAAACTCAAATGTTGGGATTCTGAATGAAAAACCTATTGAAAAAATGTATGTCTACTAACATCTCTTTTTCATATTAAATAACTGAAATTTTTAGTTTAGACAAGTGAAATAGCTGTATATAAAAAAAAATTGAAGTTAATTTTCAGCTGTTTGTGATAGTGTCAATCAAAATCAATCAATTTGTAAAGATTTTTCACCTGTTTTTTTTCTTTCGTTGTTTCTCAAGAAAGAGGGCAAGCTTTTTGGTTTTATTTCAAGGACAGCAAATAGTGTATTAGCTGGAAAGCAGGAAATAAAAAGTGTAAACCACCAAATGATTTTGTAAGTGTTAACAAAAGCTCCAGAACCTGAAAACATTATGTGCAAACAAAATATTTACCAGCCATTATTTTCATAATAGAAATGAGATTATTATATTTAATTTACATTGACTTAATAAGGAAGTAATTTTAACAATGGCATTTAATGTTAAACATTACATGTAATACAAAAATAACATTTTAAAGAATTACCTTTACAAAATCTACATATCAGAAAAAATCTGAAAACTGAGTGAAAAAATTCACAGATCAGTATACTTTGGTTAAACATTTATGGTAAAAATATTTTTACCTATAAGTTTGTTTTGAATTAGAAAAGTTTACTCACAAAATTAGAAATACGTAAGTGCACTCTCAATCCTTGTTTATTGTTAAATCTGACAAAATTAAAACTCATCAATATGCATATGAGGTGTGGAATACCATAACTGAGGCAGATGGGAGGGTAGTGATGAGAGTCACAGTTGTGCCTGGCTAGGGGCTCCCACTATTAGAGAAATTAAGGTAGGGTTCACTGGACTGGTCACTGGTGTCAGAGGTTATCGACTCATTCATTTCCTGAGAAGGACATCAGCCTTTCAAGTAGTGTAGGTTTTTTCCAACTAAGAATCCTGAGAAATCTCTAAATTTCATTCACAAAGAAATTAAAGCAAATATATTGAAATATGCTGGGTAGGATAAAGAAAAGGAAGAGCAAAAGCACGGAAAGGTAAGAAAGGAGGGAAGTTGGAAAGGGAGAAGTGAAGGAGGAGTCTCTGAACTACCAATTCAGGGATATGGTATTCAGTCTTTTAAAATAATTTGTCTTTTCTGCGCCATCCCCAAATTTTTTGAGCCTGAGCCTTTTATAAACTGAGCATAAACTTGAAGCTCAGTTAAAGCTTAAACTTAAAAGCTTTCACATAAAATGGTCCTGAGTCTTCTACAATGCGTTCCAATTTGTCACCTTCCTAAAGTCTTCTGGTTTTAATTTTTTTCTCATTTCCTACTTGTTTTTAGTGCCAGAAAGACCAGGGTTTGACTAAAAACGCATGTTTTATACCTACGAAAGCCAAATGCTTTATAACTTGATTTATCATAGTTCTTTCAAAATGTCTTTAAAATGGCATTCAAGTAGCTACCCAGACTCATCAAAACAGGGAGGGGTGGATCAAAGAAATAATCTATCATATGTCTGTTGGTTAGCATAACCTTAAATTTCCCCATTTAAAAAAGTGCAGGTACACAATTTCTCAGCCGCACCTCCCAATGCAAGGAGCTGAGAGAGGTGCAAGAGCCCACCGTCGTCGTTTTCAACTATAAGCAACGCGTGACTTCTGTTAAAACAAAACAATGCTTGGGTTCTTCGGTTCTTCTTAAAACTGAGAGGAGGGGCTGTGGCACTGCTGGGAGCGACTCCACTTGTCTGCGTCCTCTCCTAACTGCAAATAAACGGGGTCGGAGCCCAGCAGTCTTCGCAGCCTAAGCCTTCTGGCAAAGCTGGAGCCCGAGGGTCGCCTAGCCCCAGGGGCCAGCAAATCTGCCCTTTCTTCTCACCCAGTCCTCTCACCTTTCTCTTTTCAGTCACCCTCCCCTTTAGCCATCACGTGGACTCCTCCTCTCCAGAAGTCCGCGATTCCAAAGGCAGGCGAAGTCCCACTAATGAGAGGATTTTTACATTTGTCGTGTACTCCCCAAGAGCAAAAAGAAACCCTTGCCTCTACCACTAAGGCAAAAGCACTGGGCACAATCTAGTATTTTTACTGAATTTCCATACATAGATCACTGTAATTTGATCCCTTTATCAGTGAGACCCCAGAACATTCTAAATGTAAGATAAGGTAGGTCAAGGGGCAAGTCAGAATCAGGAGAACCCAGGAAAGCAACTGCCCCCACCCCCACCAGGCCATGCCTAAAATGGAGCCGTCTTCAAACAAACCCGGCGCCTTCCTATCGCCATCCTATCGTCCCTCTGATCGCAGAGCCCCAGCAGCCGAGCCACCACGGCAGCGCTGCCAGCGCCTTCAGAGCACTGGCAGGGCTGTTGGCGCTGCACACACACCCCGCTGTTTGGGGGTCACCGCCGTCCTGGCATGATCTTTAAAGGTTGCCGACCGCACGTCGGGGAAACACTTCCAGGTTCCCCCGTTGCCCTTCAGTAAGCTGCCTGGTAATAACTTTCCTCACATTCTGAAAACCTGGACTCAAAGGAAAGGAATACCCGACTTCGGTGTGCTGCTCTTTGAGTTGGTCACTTCAGGGTACGGGGGCATTTTTCGTTTCCAAAATAAATATTCCTTTCCTATCCAGTTTTCTTATCTGGAGAAAAAAATGCGCTGGCTTAACAATAATTGTTCTCTTCAGAATGTTTCACCATTTTAAGAACTTCTAAAACTTTCCTTAAGTATCTCCTGAACACATTTCTCCTGGAATAATGAAGTAAAATTGTGGGAATTTTGTGGAATCAGCACAAATTTTGTTTTCTATTCAAATTGCCTATTTTAAAAACAAGTATTTGCAAATATTTTCTTCTTTTAAGTGAGCTATATTCCAGCAAAGTATTTAGAGAAAATTCACACAAAACAGACATTAAGACCACCATTTTGTGGAAAAATAACTTTTTTTTTAAAAAAAAGAGCAAACAGCAAAAACTACTAATGTATTAAGATTTTCTCCCGATAAAAAAATAAAAATTTTACTATTTCTCCTCCAAATATTTTCTGCACTCTGCTCAGAAACACTTTAAGTGATCCTAATTAACAGGTTAGGAAAATCATATAGTAAGAGGCTTTACATTACTTTTCTCAAAATAACACAAAAGGCAATATTTCTCACCCTGTACCACTTGAACATGTACATTTCATAATTTAAAGATCTTTTTAAAGTAAATATTGCAAGGGGGGACATTAATATAAATATACAATTCATTCTACCACCCCTAAAGCTGTGAATAAAAATTTGTTCTTTAAAACTTTATCTAATCAGAGGAAATAATCCACTGAAAGAACAGCATGGACTGTCTCACAGGCATTATTAATATTTTCATTTTGACTTTATCCAAGGAGAGTTGTATCAGATATAGAAAGAACAGTGGAAGAGAGTGAGAGCGAGAGAGAGAGAAAGAAAGAAAGAAAAGAAAGAAAGAAAGGAAAAGAAAGGAAAGGAAAAGAAAAGAAAAGAAAAGAAAAGAAAAGAAAAGAAAAGAAAAGAAAAGAAAAGAAAAGAAAAGAAAAGAAAAGAAAAAAAAAAAGAAATCATCAGGCTTTAAAAGTGCCTCGATGAGAAGCAAATATGTGGAGAAAAGACATTCAGCTAGACTGCGGCCTGGAAAGGAAAAGAAAAGAAAAGAAAAGAAAAGAAAAGAAAAGAAAAGAAAAGAAAAGAAAAGAAAAGAAAAGAAAAGAAAAGAAAAAAGAAATCATCAGGCTTTAAAAGTGCCTCGATGAGAAGCAAATATGTGGAAAAGACATTCAGCTAGAAACTGAGGCCAGAGTTCTGGCACATTCATTAAATTCATGGCCTTGTCCTAATCACAGAGCTTCTCCTGGCCTCAGTTTCCTCATCAACAAAGTAAGGAGACTGTACCAGTTTCAAAGTCTTCCAGTTAGGGGGGAAAAAAAAAAGTCATCTGTAGAAACAACCCTCCCTTTGGTGAAAGTAGTACCTCTCCTTTCCAATCCCTATTTAACCACAAGGAAGCACAGACATGAAACTTTATTGCAGTCACTTAACATACTGATGCTAACATTATATCCCAACAGAAAAGAATAATGTTTCTGGACTGCCCCAGAAAAGAATCATACTCAATAATAAGGGAAAATGATGACAGCAAAAACGTCTTTTTCATGATACTCTGTATCATTTCCATATTAACAGATACACTCTAGGAAAAAAGTATGTGTCAAACGGCAATACAGTATTTATCATGATTTCCTCTATTAAACTTTTTTATTCTTATGCTTTTCTCTGGCTTCTAAGTTCATATTTGATAAACTTAACAGAATAATATCATTTCATGTGTAGCTATGAAGGCTCAAACACTTTGCTGTATCACAACTCTTACATGTTTTTTCAAATTAGTACTAGTCAAGAGGTAAGTTAAAATATTAAATTCATCAGGGCAGAAATCGGAGATATTGTTATTATCAAATAAAATGTTTACTGAAAAATAATTATATAAATTAGTTTCAGTGATATATAAGAAAATACATGTCAAAAGTCTAACTTTTAAATGTTAAAAGTTGCAATTATGCAGTTTTATAGTAATGTACTAGGGCACAAATTTTGACACATGTACATAAAAAGCTATATAAATGGAGCTTCCTGGATTAGGCAGATCACCTCAAAAGAGTATATGTTGTGCTATTTCTGTTACGATGAATTATTTGAAAACAGTAAAGTGTTTCTATCTTTAATTCAACAGATATTTATTAGTGCCTATTGGGAATTACAAAAACAAATTAAGAGTAAGTCGTGAATACTTTTCATTCATCTCCACAAACATTTAGATACTATTATCTATATAGTTTGAGTTACTGAAAAGATAATTACAAAATCCAGTACTGCTAAAATCAAGGGAGAAAGGCGTTAATTAGAAGATACTATTCATGAAATTCTAGTGGGAATAATAGTTTTACAGATGGTGTGATGTGGATAGAGGATATAGTAAGACATGGTGACCATCTTGCCTAAGGGGAAAGTCAAAATGGAGAATTCGTGAGACTCTCTCAAGTTCTCTCAGATGTCTCTCATGATCTTTTAACATTAGTTAAGTAAAATATTTAATTTTAAAAAACAGACTAACCTGGGGCTGATGAAACCTGGTTGAATGACCTCATCCTCTTCGGAAGAACCTAGAATTAGAGAGCTCAAGTCAGTACTACATTAATTGCCTATTTAATTGCCTCTTCTTCAGCTTAATGGCTCATTAGAAAGTAATAAAATACCCAGGTTTTGACTCTGTGAAATGACCTGTAAACTTTCTTTTTACAGTTTTAAGAGTCACCTAGCAAAATAAGATAACCAATTGGCATAAACCTGCACTTTATTTCTATTAAAAGACACTGCATTCAAAACAAAAACAGGACTGGGGATTTAACTCAGTGGTGCTGCCGCCTTTCTCACAAGCACAAGGTCCCGAGTTTGATACCCAGTAACAAAAATAAATAAATAAAACAAGAACATTAAATGTAAAGATCACAACTTCATAAACAATGTAGTTTTAATTTCTGATATCTAATTTTACAGTGTAATTCAAGAATCCCAAGATTTTTCCACTACAATTAAAATTTACCTAACCTACAATACTGTGTTCTTTGATGAACCTGACTACTCTCTTCAGATGTATTTTAGATTATAAATCATGAGAAATTATGGTACTATACCACTGACACTCAGTCTGCTGCATTCAAATACTTTTTGAGAGAAAATTAATAATCCATTTAATGAATAATGTGTATTTAAAGGTATCTACTATGAATTGAGCCAGATTTTAAAAACAACACTAGTTTCCATTTTAAAAATATAGTGATATTTCTAGTATATCTACGAGCAGGTGCCATAACACAATGACACTTAGAAGCCACTCAGTAATAGCACTTGGAAGGGAAACTCCTTGGGCCCTGAATTATTTTTTCCCCTTGGATTTGGAAAATAGATTGGTCTAAACATGCATCTACTCACCTGCTACCACAAAGGGTTTTCTTTTCTTAACCAAGTTTTAGACCCTGAATCTAACATATACATTTTTCAATACAATTATGTGTAAATTCTTTAAACTGTATTTTATTTCTTCTCAAAAGGAAATGGAGGTTTTTTCCAAGTGCAGAGTTGTACTAAATGTTGACCCAACTATCTTCTTACAAAGGATGACAATCCCACTAAGACGTGAAAAGAGTAGAAGAAAAATGTGAAAGTGAACCTCTTGTACATGAAATCCTTCAGTTATCCTGTGTTTACAACCAAAAGACACAATAACAAACCCTAACTTCAACAAAATTATTTATTAAAACTTATTGAAATAGAGCTTTCCTTTATATTGAAGGTATACCAAGTTTTATTTTGCACATTTGGTTTATTTAAATTCTATGCATAAATATTTCAACAAAAACTTAGTTTATGCTTTTTATTCAAATAGCCTTCAGCCTATGCTTAGTTCTACTACTTACATTTACAGAAAAGTTCAAACCAACATTTTATTTGTTTTTCTTTTTTTGAGTGGGGGTATCAGGGGTTGAACTCAAGACCTTGCACTTGTGAGGCAGGTGTCAGAACCACAGCTAAATCCCTGGCTCTCAAACCAACATTTTAAAAGATGTGTGAACATAATAGATATGATTTGGAAAAAAAAGAAATTTTCAAATAATTTGGATAAATTACTGCAAGAGAAATTTAATAAACTCAACCAACATTAAGAGCTGGCTACATGCTATTTAATTCAAGAACTCTAATGTTTTGGTGTTTAAAAATAACCAGTCAACTGTAATGATAAAGATGTTCAGATTTTTCACTATCCAAATGTATATAGTTTCAGTACTAGCATCCCTTTAAAGCCAGGTGTGGCATCTCATGCCTGTAATCCCAATACTCAGGAGGCTGATGCAAGAGGATTGTTTTAAGTTCTACATAGAGACCTTGACTCAAAAAAAAAAAGGAAAATGAAAATGGAATTCACAGACAACTCATGTATTTCATTGGTTTAAGAGGTTTTGTTTCTTTTAGTGATGTTGGGGATAGAACCTAAGGCTTCCCACATGGCAGTCTACCACTCAGCTATATTCCCAGCCCATATTTCATTAATAAGTCTAAAATTTTCAAAGGCAAGAGTTGGTAAATAGAATCAGGTTTAAATATGAGTATTGCAATCCATCTCTCCAGTATTCACTGAACTATAATAGGAATAAGACAGGTAGATGACTTTTTTTGTTGTTTAGTACTAACCGAGGGCCTTGCACATGCTAGGCAAGCGCTCTCTACCATTGAGCTACATCCCCCACCCTTTTCAATTTTGAGATGGGGGTCTCGCTAAATGTTCAAGCTGACCTCATAATTGGAATTACACAGCCTCAGCCTTAGGTGTGCGCTGGCACACTGACAATTATTTATAATTTACATATTCATACCCATATGTGACCACCTTTGATGTAGTAAACATTTAAATAATTATTTAAATGCAGGGATTCATCAAAAACATTCATATTTTATACATAGGTTTAAAAAATTTAATATAATTTTCAGTAACACTTAACATTGAGTTCACTTTTATTAGAAAGCAAAACCTAATTAAAACTGTGAAATCCTGGAATAGATTTCTCTACCCATTCAATAAATTAGTTCCTTTTGCTCATTTAGAACTTCCCCTTGAGCTCCTTCTCTTACTGCTTCATGCTAAATACAATCGTGTAATACTGTATGATACTTTAATAGCCCATGAGCATATTCTTTCTCTCATCTTGACTCTGTGCTCTGTGGTGGCAGAGACTATTGTATGTTTAGCCCATTTTTGCAACTGCAGCAATCCTTAGTGTTCAATGTTTTGTTTTGTTATTGTTTCACATTATGAAAAATGAACCCAGGGCTTTCATGCTGAGCTTCATGCTACAATCGCAGCCCTTTTTTAGCTTTTTTCAGACATGTCTCGCGAAGTCACTAAATTTCCAGGCTGGGCAGAAACTTGCAATCCTCCTGCTTCAGCCTCTCAGAGTGCTGGTACTAGACATTCATTCACCAATACCCCTAGCTACTATAGCTATACCTGTATATGTATATATATTTAAATGAATCAATAACTTATTTCTGGGCCAGGGATTTAGCTCAGTGGTTCCGCCGCCTGCCTTGCAAGCACAAGGACCCGAGTTCAATCCCCAGTACCAAAAAATATAACAAAACAAAACAAAAAAAACTTATTTCTGTAGGTGGTTTTACAATCTCTACAATGGCTTTTATGGAGGATATAAAAGGAAAGGACTTGTGTACAAAACTTTTATTAAAATGTTTTCACAAGAAAAAATGTAATAGGTACCTGATCATCTGAGTACTAAAATAGAAATTATATACATATAAAATAATTCTAATTTTATTATAAGTATATAGGGTCTGGGATGTAGCTCAGTAATACAAGTTATTTTTTTTTTTTTTTGGTACCGGGGATTGAACTTGGGTCCTTGTACTTACGAGGCAGGCCATTTTTTTTACAGTTATTACTGTAAATAATTTTATTCAGTCAAAAACTGACAAACTTTTAAGCCCAGAGAATAACATTAAATGATATTAAATATTCAGAACTTTATTTCAACTCAATTTATATTTTGTAACTTATTTCCAATACTAATAAAATGCAAGTTAAAGTCAACAAAATATGAGTTAGGAATCAAGAATAAAATTATCCAAAAGAAAAATTATGTCATTACTTTTCTTATTACTGCAACTTCTCAACATTTGGTGCTTAAAATACATTTTTCTATTACCAGTGTTTTAAAAAGTAATTAATTTCAAAGGACATTATAATTTACTAAATATTCACACTACACTTGTAACAAAAATGGACATATAGTATGTCTCAACTATCACTGTACTAAATACATTCTTTGGAAAGCAAAACAGGCAATAATGTAATTTTTCTTTCTTAGAAAAACTGCTAGGGAAAGTGTTAGTTTTTTTTTTGTTGTTGTAACAGGCAATAATGTAATTTTTCTTTCTTAGAAAAACTGCTAGGGAAAGTGTTAGTTTTTTTTTGTTGTTGTTGTTGTTGTTGTTGTTGTTGTTGTTTTTTGAGACAAGGTCTCATTATGTAGTTGAGACTGACCTGGAACTCACTATGTAGCCCAGGCTGGTCTCAAACTCACAGCGATCCTCCTGCCTCAGCCTCCTGAGTGCTGGGATTACAGGCGTGTGCCACCATGCACAGCTTCTAGGGAAAAAGTTTTTAAATGACACTACTGTACTTAAAACCATATAGCAAACATACTACAGAGTAAAATGTAAAGGGTAATACTTGTTTACTTCAACTATAACTTAAAATATATACATGTATCAAATAAAATATTAGATGTGAAAATTTAACACTGAAGTGAACATGGGTACTTTTCAAAATTTTTTACACTGTCCTCTAAAAGAATGCTTAATGTGAATTAAAACTTTACTGTGGAAAAAATAAAATAAAATATCATCAACAAAACTTTACTGTGGGCCAGGGATTTAGCTCAGTGGCACTGCTCCTGCCCTCACAAGTGCAAGGTCCTGAGTTCGATCCCCCGTACAAAATAAAAAAAGTTACTGTAATTATTCTTGCAAATTAGTCAACAGACTAAATTCAAATGCTACCTAAATAAAATCAGGATAAATAATTTTGTAATTTACTGAACTTCCTACTGTAATTAGAGGTATAATTGGACTGTTGTTTTACTGTCTCAATTATATATAGGTAAAAAAATAAACTACGAAAAAGTAAATTAACACAAATATTTACGTATGATTCTATTCAGCTAAATACTTAGATTATGGGTGTTTTACAACAGGAAGTTTCATATTTGGTGTAATGTTTTGAAAATTATTTTGAGAATTGAGAAATACATTATTTCAAAGTTGCATTATTTTACATTTACAAAATATATGATTTAATTATAAGAAACTACCTGAGGATAATACTTGTAATGATGATGAATCACAAAAATGAATTTTACTTTCTCCAACATTTTGCAAATTAAAGTATTATTGGTTTCAATGTAAGATATAAGTAGCTTTTCTCACTGTGTTCAAAAAAAATTTTACTCTAGAAAATAAAAACTTCAATGAATAACAACCTCAGTCAACTAACAAATTGTCAAGATTGTGTGAAGGCAACGCTAATAGAGCAAATGTTAATTGATAAACACATTTCTTTAATTAAATATAAACAGCACAGTTGAGCCACAACACAACTCAGCCACAGCTAATGCAAAGGTTTGCATTTTACAACGTGTGAAACAGATTTCATATAATAAAGCTCAAAGATGAGTCATCACTTACACTGTGTCAAAAGCAAAAAAATTTAAAAAGCAATAGTGGTTTAAATTCTTTAAAGTACCAGAATATTCCTCTTTATAAAGCTAATCACACATAC